TTTTGGGGGGTGGGGGAGGGGCGGGATGCGCCGAAATGAGGGGCGGGAGGTGCTGGGACCCCAAAATTTGGGATTTGGGACCCCAAAATTTGGGATTTGGGTGGTTTGGGACCCCAAATTTTGGAATGTGGGGATTTGGGACCCCAAAAATCAAAGATTTGGGGGTTTGGGACCCCAAAATTTGGGATTTTGGGGTGGTCGGGCCTCCAAAAATTGGGGTTGGGTGGGGTTGGGACACCCGGGACCCAAAATTTGGGTTTTTGGGGGTTTGGGACCCAAAATTTTGGGATTTGGGGGGGGGTTGAAATCCCTGGGACCCCAAAATTTTGGGATTGGGCCCCAAAAATTTTGGGATTTGGGGGTTTGGGACTCCGAATTTTGGTTCAGGCTCCCCCAAATTTTGGGCACCCCAAATTTACTTGACCCCCCCCCCCCAAAACCCGAGCCCCTCCCCCACTCCTGACCCCAAATCTGGAGATTTTTGTGTTTTGTTTTTTTTTTTAATTATCATTTTTGGGTTCATTTTGGGATTTTGGTTTTGGGATTTTTGGGTTCAATTCGGGATTTTTGGGTTCGTTTTGGGATTTCTTTTTCTTAATTTTTGGGATTTTTGGTTTCTTTTCAGGATTTTTGGGGTTCGTTTCGGGATATTTTTTTGTTTATTTCGTGTTTTTTGGTTGTTTTTTGGATTTTGGGGTTCATTTTGGGATTTTGGGGTTAATTTCAGGATTTTTGGGTTAATGTCAGGGATTTTTGGGTTCAATTCGTGTTTTTTGGGTTCATTTCGGGGTTTTTGGTTTTGTTTCGGGATTTTTGGGTTAATTTGGGGATTTTTTTGGGGGGGGATTTGGGGTTCATTTTGGGATTTTTGGTTTCTTTTCGGGATTCTTGGGGTAATTCAGGATTTTGGGGTTCGATCCGTGTTTTTTGGGTTCATTTGGGGGTTTTGGGGTTAATTTCGGGATTTTTGGGGTTCGATTCACGTTTTTTGGGTTAATTTCGGGATTTTTGGTTTCTTTTCGGGATTTTTGGGCTCATTTCGGGGGTTTTGGGTTAATTTCGGGATTTTTGGGGTTCGATTCATGTTTTTTGGGTTCATTTCGGGATTTTTGGTTTCTTTTCGGAATTTTTGGGCTCATTTCGGGATTTTTGGTTTCTTTTCGGGATTTTTGGTTTCTTTTCTGGATTTTTGGGCTAATTTCGGGGATTTTTGGTTTCTTTTCGGGATTTTTGGGCTCATTTCGTGTTTTTTGGGCTCTTTTCGGGATTTTTGGGCTCATTTCAGGGATTTTTGGTTTCTTTTCGGGATTTTTGGTTTCTTTTCGGGATTTTTGGGTTCATTTCGGGCTTTTTGGGCTCATTTCGTGTTTTTTGGGCTCATTTCAGGGATTTTTGGGCTCATTTCAGGGATTTTTGGTTTCTTTTCGGGATTTTTGGGCTCATTTCGGGATTTTTGGGTTCTTTTCGGGCTTTTTGACTCATTTCGTGTTTCCTGGGTCCTCGCGGGGTCCCCAGCCCCTGGGGGGGTGGAGGCGCCGCTCTGGGCGCTGCTGCTGCTGCCCCTCCCCCCCCTGGGGGGGGCGCTCTGCGCGCGCTGCCGGCGGGCCCGCCGTGAGTGGGGGAGGGGCGGGGGGG